TGGACCGGGGGTCCGCGCGCCCGCCCGCCCCCCGCGGCGCAAGGAAGAGGCGGAGCCGGGCCAGGACCCTACATGCCTTTATTACCGACCGCGAGTGAAAGCGAACTCCGTCATCCCGTCACTAACTACACGTCTACAGCACAGAGATCTGCCGAGAGGAGAACGAACAGTCATTAAATTATGAGATATGATTAAATCATCGACCAATAGAAAATTTATATAATAAAGCCAGAAAAAAGGTGTAAAATATAGTTTACAATAATTATTCACATTCAAGGCTGTACATCAATACATACAACACCATGGCCCCGAACATGAATTCAATCCAAATAATTCATATATTAGAATTTAAATAACACAGACTGAACTAGAGGCCAACAAGAGCCAGCAAATAACCTTATAAGAATAAAAATACAAAAGTGTGTATCTTATATCATTGCATTATTTGCTTCTGTTTTCACGAGGTCGTGGAGGAGGGGAAGATTGTTTTGTGGTGTCTGTTGAGAGGGGGTGGGGTTGTTCAGGTTTTTTTTTCTTTTATCTGTACATCACAGTTACAGCTACAAACCAGGCAGAGGATATTACACACGTAACTGACTGCCACCAACCTGAAAACAGCTAGCATACAACTATCAAAACTGATCGTGGTTCCCAGTTCCTATTTTTCTCTCTTTTGTCAGATACAGTAATGGTAAGTTCTGCTACAATTCAGAACATTTGCCACATCCAATCTGAGTTAGTACATGGTCATAGGAAGCTTTGTCAAATGGCAACCATCTCCATTCACTACCATGCTGACAGACCGATCAGGTTATTGGGTGCTTAAGAACCTCTTCCCATTGTTTGCTGCATAAAAGTCGTATTTCTTCTAAGGAAGAATTAACATTCTTAAATTACCAGTCTTACCTTAACTGAAAGCATGCCATTTCAGGTCAGAGAATTACTTGTTTGTAAGCTCACTTGATCAACTGATGGATAACCTGTGTCATGAAGCTGTGCAGGGAACTTCCATTTGATAATAAAATATTTGCATAAATTACAGGCATTCAGCAAAATTTCAGATATAAATACCACACCTATTTGTGTAATTCACTAGTAGAAAGAATGATCAGAATCCACAGACCACATCTTTAGGCAACTATTAATACACCAGTTTTCTCCTCAGCAAGGTGTTGAAATCAAATGCTTTGTCCACAGGTCGAAGGAAGTAATTGTGTTGACTTTACTAAATCATTCAAAAGAAACTGTTAAATGTACATGTGGGAAATCCTCAGGATTCTTCAAAGTTCCCAGCACAAAATGTAATGAGATATCAAGCACATTAAATTAATCATCTTGAAATATGAAAATGGATTACAATTACCACATCTTTGTTTCAACCTACAGTTTCTTCTGGGCTTATATATAGCGTGTGTGTGTGTATATATATACACACACACATACATATACACACACACACACACTTCACAACTAAATCACATCAGAAGGAGAAAAGCAGGTAGAGGACAGTGCTGACAGTTTGATGTCTGCAGTGTCTACGTGCTTAGGAAATGAGATCTTAATAGGTAATGTCAGTCTGCTCACAATGCCTCAACACTGCGTCTGAAGCAAGTCTTCCTTAATTCAAATCCTTCTCAAAACTGGACTTTAAGGCCAATGGTAATAAACTCATCTCTTTAGTTTATCAAAGTACCTTTAAACTTCCCATGCTGGGCTGGAAACCAAATAGAACAGTGCGATTCAAAAACCCTTTTAGCAGTTGTACTTCATCCTTCCTTAAGCTCCACCTCACAGAAAACAGATGCAATAAACATCTTCCTGAAGTTCAAGTCCCAAGCAAAACAAAATTGCAACATTACTGACCAGATTCTTTATAAATGATTGGCAATTGTTCAAAATGCAAAAGATGAAATGAATCAGTCAACAGATTGGGTTTTCAGTAGGTTTGCAGTGAGCAGTCTGAAGAAAAGTCTTCAAGGGCCTAACAACCCTTTTTGAGCTTTGAAAGACCTCAGATAAAGAGCAGAGAAATTAACTGGTATATCTGCAGCTTTGAAGAACCTCCCTTGCACATTTCATTCCATGAACTCCCATGAACCACAGGAGTGAACTTCAGGACAAAGGTCTGAAGCTACCCCACTTAAGACACAGGCATTTCAAACAGGAACCAGCCCTTCATAGTATGCAGCACCTGCCAACACACATTTAAGTGGACAAACTGGTAAAACATACTTAAATCCACACGATTGCTTTGTCTTGCCTCACTCTATTCTTCTGCTGTCTTTCAAAACCACAGGTTTCACTTACAGTCCAAGACAGATAGATACCTCTCCCAGAAAAGTTCTAGTCCCTTCCCAAAAAAGCAGCAGCTAAGGAAGACTTGATTTGGATCACAGAAGTTCTATGGGGAGGGATGCCTGTAAGAGACACTCACAGTCTTCTAAAGACAGCATTGCCCAAAGGAAAAAGGAATACTAGAATGCAGACATCAGCCTTCCAGACGCTTTCTTGATAGCTTAATGCTACCAAGATTTCTTTGGCTGAAAGCTTTTGGTGGGCAGGACAGAATTCTATTGAGAGAGGATTTTCGAGGTCTGAAAAAGCAGAGCGAGTACTTTGATATGGCAAAATGACTACAAGTCAAAGTATTACAGAAAACATGTTTAAGCATTTCTAGATTTCCACCTAGTGAACAAGCCAATGGAGACCACTCCATCTCTTAATGAAGCTAAGGTGTTTGCTACTAACAGAACAACTTTGACAATCTTTTTATGAGGCCAAGTTTTGTCACACTGACAGCAGTGGCACCATGAATCTCCATCACCACCAAGCTTTCCCGTATGAAGCTGGGACTACATCTACATCTCTACACCAAAGACTAAATCCAAAAGCGGCAGGGTTGCCTCCAGTGGACCCAATACACGGCTGGAATTTGACAGCCAGAGAACAAATGGATAGCACTGCAACAAACTTAATGCATGTCATCTTGGTTAGAACAGTAAATAACACAGACACAGATAAAAGCTTTACTGTGCTATTCAAATTTTAGTGACAAAGAGTGTATCTTGTATGTGATGAAATTTATCATGATGCAAAGGGAACGGTATTGTCTTTCTCATCTCAACCATTTACAGGACACCTTAGCTCCCTTAACACGATACCTCTGTGAGCCAGTGATTTACTTTTGTCAACTCTGTACATGGTGAGATAACAGAAGACTGCAAAA